CACCAACCGAAACAAGCGGAATAACCCAGGGATAGCTAACCCCCCCCCCCTCCTCCCAAACTACCGATAGCCGTTCTGGTCGGATACGGTACAGGTATGCTCATTTAACCCTACAGAGAGGCCTCTGTTTAACTTGTGATATCATATCATACCGGATTTAAAAATGCAGGGCCCCTAATCTGAATCCGATAATGAGTGATATTTTACGATAGAGTTTTAGGATCGGGTCACCGCCTGCTTCTTTAGTGGTGGTACTGTTCCGAAAAGTCGATCCGAAGCTCGAGGACGGTAGCTGGCCTTTGTTCTATTAGGTTTGGGGTTTGGTAAGGAACCACGGCCTTCTACCCAAGTTTGTTGACATCATAGAAGATTCGGAACGCTAAGCTCTGGAAGTTTATATTGCATGGCCCCCTTAGGGACGCCCAGATTGAGCCCTTCACGATAAACCCGGTTGGGCTGTCCAGCACCGAATCCCAGGAACTGGAATGATTGAACCTCGGGATAGGACGTTGGGGTTGTCTTCCATAGTAAAGTCTATTGTCTTTTCTTTTTATTTGTCTCAGCGGAAAGCCAGCTTTTTTTTTTCTGGGCGATTCCCCCCTTCCTCGTTAGAGGGGAGTTCTGGACGTCTTGGTGTGGGGTTCAATTCCTACGGTACCTCGATGCCCCTACATTACGTACCTCCGCCGCCTGACTTATTTCTCTCTGGTGCTTTCCGGGATCCGTTGAATCTCTATTCCTCCACCGGTACCCTCGTCACACTCACCTGGTTACTTATAATTAAAGACCAGGATCCGGGGGATATTGATAAAGATCCTGATGCGGAAAATGTTTTATAAACAAAAAGACAAGGCAGAGTAACAATACCGTCCCTATTGATTGGTTCAAAATGTGCTCCGCTACAGTACATATTTTAGCATCTATATTACTCGGTGCCTGTGACCCGCTAGTACAAAATGTGCGGGGAGATAGCCTTAGGCTGTTAAGGGACTGGGGGTTGCTTGGTATGGGACTGTAGAAGGGGTATCATACTATATCATATCATGAGTAGACACCCGTGTGTACCACGCGGCTACTCAGGAGCAGAGAACCAGAAGCATCCAAATAAGACATGCATGTAATTAGGGCGATCCCTCATATAATAAAGAGTTATGTATCGGTTGATGGTAATAAATAAGAAAACAATAGACGCAATTTTGGGTGCATTGTGGGAGCCATAATGGTTAAAAAACGGTTTTTACCCCCCAACATGTTTGCCATTGTGAAAGAAGAATGGCCCTTGGACTGCCCCTCGTGTTTGTTATTGACTGCCGATCTACGGTGTTAGGTCGTCCGCTCTCTCTGACCCTGGGTGACTCGTATGATGCTGCGCTGCCAGTGCCATACGTTAGGTTCTTTATGTTTAAAGATTTGCTCTCAATTCAGATCTGAGCGTTTCTCGTCCTAAGAAAGGACGGCAAGAAAAAAGAAGGTAATTATCGATAGGTCGCTAGGTGTCCTGCTCCCCTCTGATTATGATATGATACATGGGTACTTGGTAATATAGATTTTAGGGTAACCTCAGCCCGCAGGGATTTCTGTGCCGTACTCCTTGGAAGGATGGGCATTTACAGGGGTATCATACCTTGTGATATATCATAATATTATCATAGATTTAATACTTCGCAAGTATGAAGTCCCCGTCTACCCCATAAACTTCTGTGACAACTCCCCGCACTAATGGGCTCTAGACTATGAAAACCGGGTGTGCGGAGGATAGTGAGTTATATTAGCACCGACTTTCTTTCTTTCTCTTCTTTCCATATTTTTTTTATATTTTAACCATCGTACCCCATCATACCTTGACAACTCTGAGGAAAGACAGAGGAAGAAATACCCCTTACAATAGCTCCCTTCTAGTGCAGGGGTATAGCTAACGGGGTTTAGCAAATTTGCTCCAAAAGCCTGCAGGAAGTCATATCATACGTCACACTCTCCAAGTGAGGATGTGGGCTCAAATTGGACAGCACCTGCTGGCCTCTGGGAAACTCTTTTTCTTGGACTGTATTTTTGTTGTTGTCACCGGTATGATACTGTCACAACTTGTCACTTGGTCAATGAACCACGGGCCACGCTTACAGCAGGAGCTTTCGGTTTCCATTTTTCATTATCAATTTTAATAGGGCTTTTAGACTCGGGCTTACCCCCAAACCGCTGAGTTCTATTAGACGCTAAAGTAAGTTAATTGGATTTGATTAACTCGTCCAAAATATACTTGATTCTAATACCGCCTAACTCTGCTCACTGGAGGCGTTTGGAGATCCATTTATTGATCCCCTTGAGTGCCCCCCTCAGAGGCTAGGAGCGCATCACAAGTGCTGGCCACCAGATCCGTCATCGTTGGGTGTTAAGGTATATAACGTACCACATGTGCTAACGATAAATTCAAGGAAAAAAGGTAATCCAAAGAGGTGTTGATAGCTCGATGACCCAAATCTCCGCAATTGACCTGGGTAAATCTTCTCGCGAGCCGAGCTTGAACACGGGCCCGAGCTGGCTTGGGCCGTGAGGTGATATACTCGAGGTGCTCGAGGACAATATGGAGGGTTCGAGGCGGCTATACGGTTAACCCCAGGATTTGATGGCAATCATTACTTCTCACTCGTTCAATGTTTCATCCGGCTTGTTGGAAATTGCGGTTAATCGAACGGTAATGTCAATGATTGCTACGAGGGTTTTACAGAACCAGAGGAGGATGGTGTGAAAAGAGAGAGAATGGAATTGAGCTTATCGGCTAAGAGTCAAGAGTAAAAAGAGAGAACTGAGAAAAGTGAAAGGTGTGAATTGATAGGAAGTTAATGAAGGATGCAGATTGATATTTGTGAGAATTGTTAAGAGAGGAAGAAAAAAAGAATAGAAAGAATAGAAAGCAAACATAAGGTGCGGATCTGTGTGCCAGGTATAAGAGGTACGTAGACAGTCTCATATATCTGCGAATGTTCTCAACGCCTGTATGTAACCATTCTCATATATCCAACACGGTTAGGGGGAAAGGGCACAGTACCCTGCGAAGAAGAAAACGAGGACCTTTATGCCCCTAGTGGCGGTGTTATCACATAATATTATGAAGGAAAAAGGTATTGGTAAACCCTCTTCCAGAGACGCCCAAACTATGATACATGAATAGATCCTAAAATATCTCCTTTCCCGGCCCCTAAACTTCTCCACACAGTACCACAGCTTCTGTCCTTTCCTACATCCGGGATATTCACGTGGCCTCCGGCAGTACATTTGTGATATTTCTTAGTCATTTCTAGGTTTCCAAATCTATCCAAAACGGCTTTTCGAGAAAACTGAGGTTCCAAGCTCCTCAATTCTCCTTTGCTTAGGAAGATCAGTCTCACATTTCACCTAACAAAAAAAAGAGCGAAAATAATTTTAAAAGCCGAATCCAGCCCGGGTCGTGGGAATCCAGGACCCAGAGCTTGGTTGGATCTATGTGCTTTTTAGATTCTCGCGAAGGAGGCGTTGGTAGACTGGTCTCCAGCTCAGAGTACTCCAATAGGTAATGGGGTTCTTGGTGCTAAACTCCATAGAAGTGGTTCTTGCCTCCTGTATAATTAGAACTACTAGGTCTAGAATTACTATCAAATGGCATCAGTTTGACCTGTGACTGATGCTCCCACATTCCCAGACTCCGCTCACCAAAGCCGTTGGTACTAGTACGGCTAGTGCTCCCGGCACCACGGGATATATGGGGTAGGGTAAATTACTCTACTTTTATCAATTAGGATCGGGAATTTGGGTAAACCGGACTTCTTAGGGCCTGTTTGGCGGGAACGGTAGGCGGGTCGACCGTTCCGTTCGTTGATGATTTTTGCTGGGGAAATGGTTGTCTTGGCATCTTCAGAACGGAGGGAAACGGTCATTTGTATGGGGGAACGGAACGGTTCCGTTCCCGCCAAACAGGCCCTTAGAATATTATCGTGTCATTTTGAGAACTCTGATTGTCAGCTGGCGCACTTCTGGCATTGTGCAGTGCTGGAGCAGGTAGACCTAGACGCGCCATACCGGTATCACAACCTACTTGGCTCTCACCCACCATTTGTCTCCATTCCCCCATTATTCAGGTTAAATTTTATTTCAAAATTTTGTTGTCAAGCCTATGAAATTCTTGCGCTGCTGCACCGCTGGGCTCCAAGAACTTGTGTCAATATAATATGGTAGACATCACCACAATCAATTCGAAGATTTACGATTTTGAATCACCTTCCTCTCGAAGCTGTATTATGAGGCCTTGGTTCTGCGGGTCCGGCTTCCGTAGAACGGCTGAAGGGATCCGCGGCAGTGTCATACTAATCGCTAAGTTATCCCCATACCGTACTTGGGCATCCGCCCTCCGCGTGTCGACCCTACGTAGTCCAGGAGGGTGCCATAGCCCTCGCTCTCCAGTTTGAGCGACGGTAAATACAATTATGGTGTCTTTATTTTACTAGGGTATTTCAATTGAATTGGGGAAAGGGGGAGCCGGTTGTTGTCTTCCAAGGGCTAAATTTAAGCACTATGGTGCAAGTACCATAGAATGTATTCTCCTATCATACAAGACAGGGATTATGTTGCAGGCCCACCCCCAATTAACTGTTCATTAACTTCCTACCGGATGCTTGTATCATCCGAATCACAGCTATGATACTGGCAATCTATCAGCTCTGCCGATCCTTTTCTCTTCACTAAAAACCTGAAATTCGGCTGTGCCACAGTGCTCGCCCTCGACAGAACTCGTACAGCACGTGTCATACCGTATCGGGATTGGTTGCTGACGTTGCCCCTCAGGCCCTTGCGCCTCCCCAGCCACGCACTACCGGATATCACCGTCCTTGTACCCCGCGACAAAGCTTGGCTGTTTCGCCATCAAGCAAACAGGGTTTTGTATCAGGCCTATCGGTCCGGAGGACATAAGAAAGCCTTTGCTCACCAGCGTCTTCTCAAAACCCTCAATTTTCAACCGAACCCGCAATATTTACGGTTGGAAAGCTCTTACCTGAACGTTAATCCTTCTCCACCAAGAATAGTAGAGGTGAGCCCTCCTAAACAGTGGAGCCAGCTTAGTTTCCACAGTCGGCAGCTAATCGGTCTCTAGCCAGGTCTACCAATAGAGATGTCGGACGACCAACCTCCATCAAACAAGCGAACTCCCCTCCCAACTCCTCCTCATCAACTCCCACATCAAGATGGTGCGGCTCACCAATCCGATTACAATGCCTCACCTCCAGCGTATAGCCCATTGCCCTCAATAGATTCTGTACCCGCCGGGCCCTTAGTTGGACCTCATCACCACAGCTCAGCAGATGGCTATCCAGAATTTATCTCTGAGCTTGAAGGGGACCTACCTTCCTCGCCCCCTCCAGCGTTTCCAGAAATATACGGGGAACTTGATATAGAACAGGAGGAGATGGAGACGAATGCGAAGATTGCTGGTTAGTTACCCCCCTGGTCTAGACTTGCCTCTCCCCTCTAACCTTATGGCTCTTTGGCTGACAACGTTTACACCTAGATGATGGCCGGATCAACATTAACATCAATCAGAGGACTGCAACTATGTCTTCACTTCTGGCTCCAGCAATGAGGGGGCAACTGGCGTTGGCGGAGGAAGCAAAGGATCGCGCGCGGCATGGAAAACCGATCGATTCGCCGGTTCCCGGTTTTGATGTTCCTGAATTCGCCAAGAATGTGCCACCGTTGAATATACTCATACAAATAATTGGGAGCAGGGGAGATGTGCAGCCCTTTATTGCTCTAGGTCAAGTATTGAAAGATCAGTACAAACACAGGGTTAGGGTTGCTACACACCCAACATTCAAAGAGTTTGTTGAGGAAAATGGCCTGGAGTTCTTTTCCCTAAGCGGTGATCCCTCAGAACTTGTAAGTTTAGGCCGTGCTTTCCTTACCCCACACCCCACGAGCGATATGCGACGACTTTGTGTGAATTGGTACTAACTTTTATCAAGATGGCATTCATGGTAAAAAATCCCGGATTAATGCCCGGTTTCGACAGCCTAAGGAACGGGGATGTGACCAAGAGAAGGAAGGCAATGTGGGATGTTCTCGTGGGTGGTTGGAGAGCTTGTGAGTATCTCGCGTGTGGCCCACCTTCAACGGCTGCCCATGTGTTTTAGAGACTGAAACCCGATGTCTTAGGTATTGAGCCTGGTGACGGAACTTCGTATTCCCTCGACTCGGCTTCTAGTAGAGCGAAACCATTTGTTGCAGACGCTATCATTGCTAACCCTCCAAGCTTTGGGCATATCCATTGCGCTGAAAAACTAGGAGTACCATTGCACCTAATGTTTACGTACGTATTTGGAATGGGAAAAATAGTAATAACCTTAACCATAACACACCATCTACTAACCTTTTCTTAGAATGCCTTGGTCACCAACCACTGCTTTTCCCCACCCATTAGCAAATATCCAAAGCTCTAACGCCGAGGGCGCGGTAACCAATTTTCTTAGTTACATACTCGTAGAGATGATGACCTGGCAAGGGTTAGCCTTATCCTTTTCCTAGGAGTGATCCACACTGACGAGGTGAGTAGTCTAGGTGATCTGGTGAACAAATTCCGCGCAAGGAAGTTGGGCTTAGATCCAGTCAGCACTGTGTGGGCTCCAGGGATGATCGCTAGACTTAAAGTCCCGCATACATATTGCTGGTCTCCAGCTCTTATCCCCAAACCACTAGATTGGCCTCAACATATCTCTATCAGCGGCTTCTTTTTCCTCTCTTTGGCATCCTCCTACATACCCCCACCAGATCTTGCCAACTTTCTAGCATCAGGCCCGCCCCCGGTTTACATTGGATTCGGGTCGATCGTGGTCGATGATCCAAATGCTTTAACAGACATGATATTCGCTGCTGTGCGCAAAACTGGGGTCCGCGCTCTGGTGTCTAAGGGGTGGGGGGGGCTTGGAGGCGAACAGTTAGATCTGCCACCAGGAGTCATGATGCTGGGAAATTGCCCGCACGATTGGTTATTCCCGCGCTGCTCGGCAGTTGTTCATCATGGGGGAGCTGGCACCACCGCGGCTGGTGTAAGGTGTGGTAAACCTACCGTTATCGTTCCATTCTTTGGTGACCAACCCTTTTGGGGGAGCATGGTCGCAAAGGCTGGCGCGGGGCCTGAGCCAACACCCTTCAAACATCTAACGGCGGACATACTAGCGGATAGTGTATCAATGGCTTTAAGTCCCCAAACACGAGAGCGAGCGGAGGAACTCGGTACCAGAATTAGAGATGAAATGGGCACTGAAGCAGGAGCAAGGTCTTTCTTAAGTTTACTAGGCGGACAGCCCGGTGAGGGAGGGATCTACAGATGTATGGTCGACAACGCGAAGGTCGCAACCTGGAAAGTCAAAGCTACGGATGTTCTGCTCAGTTCTTACGTGGCCAGTATATTGGTGAAGAATGGGAAAATAGAGGATGGATGGAATGGCTTGAAACTCTGCAGGCACAAAGATTGGAATACAGATACTGGTCCTTTTGAGCCAATAAGTGGTGCTACCGGTGCACTAGTTGGTACTCTTGGGAGCGTCATGATGGGCATTGGAGATTTCCCCAAGGGCGTTTTCAAACAATTTCGGAAAGCGAAACCCAAAAATGACTCGCATACAGAGGAAATTCCCAGCCCACCAAGTGGTCTATACTCCGGAAACGAAAAGGCCAGTAGGAGTGACATCTCCTTCGCAGCTAGTTCTACCGCAACGGCAGAAAGTGTGAAAGATTCTGGTAAAAAGCTCACTTCTGGAGGATCGGGCCAGAGTGAGACGGGGCTCATGGATCGTGACACCGCTATTGGGGCAAGCAAGAGTGTTAGTAGCATAGTGGAAGCTGGGTTGAAATGTAAGCCAATTGAGGCCCACAAAAATACCGAGTTCGAGGTCATACTGACCAGAGGCATTTTTAGCGCCCATGGATTTTACGCTTAGTCTTGCTCAAGGCTTCCACAATGCCCCGAAATTATATGGCGATAATACTGTAAGGTCCCTAGACAAAGTGACGGGGTTTCATAGCGGCTTGAAAGCGGCCGGAAAGGGACTGGGGCTTGGTCTCTACGATGGCGTTTCCGGTATTGTCACCCAACCCATTCAAGGGGCTAGGGAGAAGGGGGCTATAGGATTTTTCAAAGGATTTGGGAAGGGTATTGGCGGAATCGTATTAAAAGGCGGAGCTGGTACTTTCCCTCGTCTTGCCCAATTACAGCTATGTCCGAGATACTGACCCACTCTTATGGTAGCCTTCTGGGGAGTTCCCGCATATACGATGAAAGGCATTCATAGAGAGATACAGAAGCTTCAGGTATCGGACGTGGATAAATTCATCATCGGGTCAAGAATTGCTATTGCAGAGGCAGAATTCCAACAATCCAGTCCGCAATTACAACGGCAGATAATTGACAGGTGGAATGAATTAGGTCTTGATAAGTTCAAGAGAGCGAGTAACAAAAAAATCAGTTCTACTAGCTTTCTTTCTCACTCCCAAAAACCGAAAGGCAAAGGAAGAGAGCCACCAGAAGTTGAAAGTACCCCACAAAACACTGCCACACATACCGGCAATTTTGACGATGAAGAGCTTGAAAAAGCAATTAAGGAATCAGTCAAAATAACCTCAAATGGCGATCCTAGAGAGGATGAAATGGTTGAAAAAGCGATCCGTGCTAGCATTGCCGAGCTACAGGAAGGGGGGGTTTCTGTGCATGAGACAGTTGGCGACAACTCCGAAGAATCCGAGGAGGAAGCCTATCATAGGGTTGTCACAGCATCGGCGACTGAAGCAGGAAGAAACAATGGAGCAGATGTCCCAAACGACCCAATTCTGGAAGAAGCATTGCGAAATAGTCTGTTAGAGGGAGGTCCGGGTCACAACACACAGCTGGATACGCAGGATGAAGAGCTAGAAAGAGCTCTTAGAGAGAGTATAAGGGATGAAAACATGGCGGTAAGGGAGTACCCCGATACACAAGATGGTGCTGGCGACCCTGAATTGCAAAGGGCAATCGAGGAAAGCAAGCGATTAGAGGTCGAGAGAGAGTTGAGAAGGAAGACAGAGGAGGAGGTTATCATGGAGTATGTGAAGAAAGCTAGTTTGGAGGAGCAGGAGTACGAACGGAAGAATAAGCGGAGAAGCTGGGTAGATGAGGCGGGGCCTTCTACACGCTGATCCAGCGTTGGTGTAGGGAGAGGGGGGGCATGGGTATAACTGGTGATATCTTTGGTGAACTGTCTTGATATTTGTTTCTATAGTATTATCCCATTTGCACTAATATGGTTCCCTGTTTTAAGCACTCTTATTCCCTCTTCTCGCTTTTCCCTTTTCTCAATAACCACGAAATTCCACCCTCCCTTGACCACCGCCAAATCTAACCCAGGAGGCGAGAATTATTCTTTTATGATAGCACTTTTCTTTTTTATAACTATTATCGTGCTAGACACTCGACAGAACCAGGGAAACCAAATCAGCCGTTCTTCGCAACGCCGGCATATAGCCCGCTCCTCCAAGAAAACAAATATATCCGCCGTACTCGAATAAACCGGACCTCCGAGCTTACATGGATTTGAGTCTAGTGGTCAATCCCAGTGCTCAGTTCCCCAGGAGGTTACCCCGTGGTGCCCCAGCCGCTTCAAGAACCTCCGGAACACCTTCCTCTAACTATAGTCAAAGCATCTTGTCAGCAGACGATGGTCCATCTTCTCCTCATCTAGATCAATATGAGAAGTTGAAAGAAATATCCTTGGTTCCTTTCTGGGCTAGTCCTATCCTTGTCTCACCTAGCAACAACCACACTAGAAAAGAACGTTTCAGAAAACTGATACTGCGCTCCCTCTGTTTCTCGCTTCCCACAATACACTGTATTCGTACGTATCCTAAAAGTAAATCACTGATGTCGTAGTACGTCCAGATCATATTTTCATCGGGGGGAGGGGGGGATGACCCTCGCTCCTTTCCTCCCTTCGCTACTACCCTTTGACAACTAAGATAACCTTTATCCCCCTCAATCTCTCTATCTTAACCTCAAATACCCCCCATGTCACCTGTGCTTGTACAATCATAGATTACCAGTAACTCAAGAGGTTCCCCCCCCCCCCATGTATCATGCGGTCCGAGTTTGTCACAGCGTCACGAGACCCTCTATGCGCAAGAATAGGTAAATATCTATAGTCTATCATAATTGCCCAAGCTCTGCCTACCAATCCCCAGCGCCGCACACCACGAGGACCTACAGAGCCACAAAACGCCATACCGATCCCGCAACCCATTGCACTTTACTGCAGGCTTCCGTGCCGGGGCCTATTCGAGAAGTTTTCCCCTTTCTCTTATTCCTTACAGCCCCATGGATAAAAAAATAAAAATAAAAAGAGCTATAAAACCACTATTATGATCGCCCTCACGTCTGTGGTTTTAGATGCACGGTGTGACAAGACGATACCGCAAACCACGGGTAGCGGCGTCAAGCGTGCCGGCGCGGAAGACAGTCTGCTGCTCACGGCACTAAGTCAGACCAACACAGTAGGTTTTCCATCGGCCCTGTCCCGTGAAACCCCCATCTCAATCGCGAAGAGAAAGTTTTGGTAGCACAGCACCATGCGCCCCACCCTCCCCTCTCAATACACTCAAATATACACATACTCTCCCTCTTCCAAGGTAACTTTTCAATCGGCATCCATCCCTTCCAGCCGGCTCCGCTAACTTAGTCTAAAATAGGACGTAGAAGTGCAGTGGCTTTAGCCGCCGCTAATAAAAAAATAACCTGAGGTCCTCACATCCAATATTGATATCACAATTAGGATCATATGAGTTTGAAATTAAGGTGAGGAAGGGGACCTCTCCCCCCTACTCATTCCCGCTTGCGAAACATGATCAGTGCAATTTTTATCGCGAATGGAATGGAAGAGAGAGGTATGTTACTCGTGTTACTCGCTGCTCTACACCGACGATACCATGCACCTACCATTGACCCATCCAGAGCCGGAACCCTTCACATGGCATGTAGCGCATCACGAAATATCATTCGAAGGGTATCACCCGCAGAGTGTAAAAACTGAAGTCAACTATAGAGTAATACTCAACCCTGTATCATAACCGGTGATCGAACAACAACAGCAAAAACGGGGACTATATACTGTATGTACAAACATCCGAGTTCAGCGCAGCCATCATTCCATACCGGCCTTCATCCACTCACTCGCAAGCCGCTTATTCCACACCGAGGAATGCAATCTACCGGCTACTTACTTAGCGCGTGTAGCACACATTCTACTCGTAGACAACGCAGAGTTTTGTGGCGGGGGGGAAGAAAGGGATTTCGTGACCCAACTCGAACTCGATTGTGCAAAAAGGAGGGCAACGCTGCTATATAATTACCGGTGCATGAAAGTCAAAACCTCACTAGGATGCTCCGCGGAGGTCAGTGATGACGGGACGGGATGAGGGTTTTGGAGCTCAAGCGCGCCCGAATATGTTATCATACCGTACCCCGGTAAAAAAAAAAAAAAAGAGCAAACGACCTAATCTGGTACGATGGTAATGGTGCCTGGAGATCTGGTACAAATAAATTGTGAGTTCCTGCTGGTCCCATCAAAGTCTTATGCCCCCGAATAACTGGAGAGGAGAGCAGAGGGGGATTTGGTTTTGCGCTCGTGGCATGATAGTATTGGGAGTGGTGTATCATAATCGATTCATTAAATCATAAGCATAATAGTTCAGCTCAACCCTATCCAGTCCGTCTACCCACCAGCCAGGAAAAAAAAACCCCCAGGATCGAATCCTTCCAAATAGACGAAATGAGAAGAGAATCGAGAGGATTCACTACAAACCCAATATCCCCCCCCCCCCCAAAAAAAAAAAGAAACCCCATTCCCAATATCCCCATATCCAAAAAAGGAAAGAAAAGAAAAAAAAAACTCGAACCCTAATCAGCCCTCTCCCCCACATACGCAGGAAACCTGGGATTACCATCTCGTGACAACTCCTGAAACCTGTAAATCACGATGGTGCCAATCCTCGGCGGATTCTGCCGCTGCTTATCCGTGAGGCCAGTGCCAATCTTGAAGAACCTGCCGGTGGGCTCGCGGTTGTCGTCGAGCATCTCGACGCGGAGCGCACCGGCGCAGTTCGAGTTCTTGCCCGAGCCTCTCTCGTGGCCGCGAACGATGGCGTCGGCGTCGAAGAAGCGCTTGACCTTCAGGAGCGTTTTGGAACGGCTGTTGACGTATAGTGACCCGGGCTCCCGGAGCATAAGTCCTTCGCCTTTGTTGGCTGTCTGCGGGGGGTTGGTCAGACGGGGACTATTGGTAAAAAAAGGTAGGGAGGAAAGGGGGGGGGGAGAGGAGGGGAACGTACGACTTTGTCCAAGGTATCAAAGAGGTGTGGTCGGCCTTTACATATTGTATGCTCGAGGACGTGTACCCAGCGAATGCGCAGTCTTCCGAAAAGGTCTTTGAGGTATGCGATGCGCTCTTCAAAGGGCTTGTCTCCCATGCTCGGTATGTCGAAAATTTGGTATGTAACGCTGAATTTCCAGGCATCGGGTTTATTCTGCGTGCGCACGATGGAAACACAGTCCTGGAAGCCTCCGCGGGTGGTGAAAAGTTCGCCGTCGAGTGTTATCTATCATACCCATCATTGTCAGAACACGGCCACCAGTAGTAGGCAAATAACATAGGATGGAGGAACACACGTCTTTCGGCATCCTCTTCGTAAACCACGCCGGCGCATAGAACGGGTTCCCCTGTCTGCTACGGAGGGTCTCTCCATCCCAGTACGCGCGCACACCATCCAGCTTTTCAGACATAAGCCATCCTTTAGGATCACGGCCCTTTTCCAAGTCCCATTTCTCGGCGAGCAGAGGCTTGAATGAACCAGCTTTCGCCTTCTTTGCTGCAGCGGCTTTCTTACTGGCAGCTGTGGTTACCGTGCGACGAGGACGTTTTGCTGGTTTTTCCGCTTCTTCCTTTTCCTCTTCAATTTCGGCGTCTTTGCCCTCATCGTCATCATCCTTGCCGGCAACTTGCTTGCCTTTTCTATCGCGCTTTCGGGTTTTCTTCTCGGGTTTGAAGTCGTCCTTTTCGTCTTCGTCTTCCTCCTCCCCGCCGATGGGGGTGGCAGACCTCTTCCTAAGCCTCGACCCAACTACCAATGTCTTGTCCCCACCGTCACCAATCTTAACTCCATGAACAGCCAATCGCGCAATCTCGTAATCGTCACCGAGGAGCGCTCTCAAATGGCGACATGTGCGCGCGACCCGTGGACCGCTGGAATTACTCCAATCAGGACATTCACAGCGATCTATCGTGACCGCAACAACAAAGATTAACCATCGCACAGCCAACAAAAAAGCCGCGAAGCAAGGAAAAAAAGAGGGAACAAACAATGATTCCCAACCCGGCTCATAACAAACCTCCCATCATCCGTATCCGAAGATGCAGACAGTGTATCCCCGCGGGATAAATAAACCCACGGTCTGATACCATTCTATCACGAAACAATCAGCAAACAAAACGCCAAATAAAAAAAAGTGTACAAAGAAAAACTGGGGAAAACTCACAATCTTGAAAGCCTCGTCTTGTCTTTTCGCTCTCGGCATTTTGTCTCTCTTTGTTCTTCTCCCTTCCAACTTACTATATCCCGCTCTGCTCTTCCCAATCCCCACAGCGCAGCGAAATCCTCCCATTCTTATAGCATTCCTCATGCCCCCGAGGGCTGAGAAAATGCCGACGCAAAAACATCCCTCTCTCTCTCTCTCTCTCTATCTCTCTATCCTTCCCTTACGTCGTCCTGC